GTGTCCCATTCTCAACAAAATATTTTTGAGAATAGCTCTTTCCTACTTTAACTTGGATAGTTCTGCCCAACAAAAAATCCTTGATCCATCTAAACATACGACCTGAAATACCCAATGTACAAAGTTTAATTAACAACCCCTCCTTCCACATCATGTCATATGCCTTTTCAATGTCAAAGAAGACCGCTGCAACACTTTCTTTATTTACTTGAGCCCTCCTTATTTCATGTTCTAAACATATCGATGGATCCATTGTATTCCTTCCTTTCCTAAAACCACTTTGGTATCCAGCTAAGTAACCTTTCATCTCTATATGATATGTCAGTCTATTATTGATCATTTTCTCCATGATTTTACAGATGTTGGATGTTAATGAAATGGGTCTGTAACTACCTGGGTTAGTACAATCTTTCCCTGGTTTGCATATTGGGATTATTATGGCTTCCTTCCAACTTTGTGGTATTTCCCCTTTCTCCCATACTTTGTTATAGAGTTCAAGCAGTATGTTTTTGGATGAATCATTAAGATGATATATCATTGTATAACGGATCTGATCCTTGCCTGGAGCGGATTCTCTGAATTTATTTATTGCTCGATTCAGTTCTGACTTTGAAAATGCAACATTTAGTAAATCTGAAGTTTCATCATGTTGGGTTAATAAGTGTTCATTTTCAATTAAAGTCATTTGTCTCCTTCGTTGCCTTTCTTTAGTAATGTTTTCTGAACTATGAATCTTGCTAAAGTTTGTTCCTAACATTTCTGCTTTTTCCTGGTCTGAAATTGCTGTTCTCTCACTTTCATGTAAAACTGGTAATCCATATTGTTTTTTAATCCCATTCATTTGCCTAATCATTCCCCAAACTTTACTAATATCAGTTTCTCTTCCAACCGAATTACAAAAGGATGTCCAGAACTCTTTCCTTGCACTTTTAATTGTCCTCCGTACTTCAGCCTGCAGTTTTTTATATTCAATTAAATTTTGGAAGTTGTGATTTCTTTTTAGTAACTTGAAAGCTTTATTTCGAGATTTAATGACTTTGTCACATTCTTGTGTCCACCATGGTACAATCTTTTTCCTATTTCCACCACTCGATCTTGGAATAGTTTGTTTTGCTGCCTCTAGGATTGCTTCACAAATGCAACTATTTAAATTGTCAATATTTTGATTAATATTAATTTTACTCATTTTTTGATCACTAATATGTTTAAACATATCCCATTTAGCTTTATTAAATAACCATCTTTGTATTCCTACTCTTTCACAGTTTCTCAATGTAAAATTTATTGTTGTGACTATTGGATAATGATCACTTCCTACTGTTGTGTCTGAAATAATCTGCCATGTACATTTAGCTGCTAATGTGTCAGAAACTATTGTGAGATCTATAGCTGATTCTGAACCATTTCTAATATTCAGTCTTGTTCCATGTCCATCGTTAAGACATACTAAATTTTTATTGTCCATAATTTCTTCAATCACCCTTCCATTTTCATCATCATAATTACCCCATAGTGTATTATGTGCATTAAAATCCCCGCAACAAATAACCTTATCATCCAAGTCTGAATTAATCATGTTTAATGATTCCACATAAAGCTTTTTGCATGGGTTGTAAAAATTTACTATTTTCATTTTTCCATCTTCAGTCCATATTTCAGCTACTATATATTCCAAATCAATACCTATCTGTATTAATCTGTATTGTATTCCTTCTTTAATAAATGTTATACATCCCCCTCCATTTCCCTCTTCCCTGTCTCTCCGTAAGCTAACATAACCTTTTATAACAAAATCCAGTGTGGGTTTCAGCCATGTTTCCTGAACACAAATAATATCTGGTTTCTCTTTAAGCTCTTTAACAAATCCTTTGAATTCCTGTCCATTTGCTATAAGACTTCTTGCATTCCATTGTAAAATAATCAGTTTGTCCTATCATTTGGTTCACCTGACTTCCCATCTGCCTCCAGTTTTTTAGTAACTTTTTCCCATGAAAGATCTTTCATTCCCAAGAATTTCTCTGCTCCTCTTACAATTATTTTTATTTTTTCTGTTTTTTGTTTGACCTGATCAGTGCAGTTGATCACATAAGCGATGAACAAAATCAGATTGTCCACCATCAGTCTTGAATCACTGCCTTCTTTTTGACTCATCTCAGATGCTGGTTTATGGGGAGTTCTCAAATCTTCATTCTTTCTTTGCACTGTCTTTACTGCCTCTGCATAGCTTACATTAGTAACTGTTTTAATCTGTTGGATTTCCACCGCCCTTTTCCTGACTTCACATTCCCTAGATGTCACTCTGTGTTGACCACCACAGTTGCAACACTTTTCCTGCACATCATCTTCACATTCTTCAAATTTATGGTCACCACCACATTTGGGACACCTCTGTTTTCCTTTACAAACTGCAGCAATGTGCCCGTATCTTTGACATTTGAAGCAACGCAGTGGTGGGGGAATATAGGCCCTAACTGGGAAACTCAAATAGCCAATCTTGACCTTATCCGGTAGTTCCAATCCCTTAAACTCTAGAAGCACTGACATGCTTTCTATTCTTTGACCATTTTTATTTCTCATCAGTCGTTTTATTGTATTTATTTCCCCTCCATGAATGCTTCGTTTTAGCTTTTCCAAATCTTCATCTACAGGAATCCCAGTTATCACCCCTCGTGTGATCCTATTTTCTCCAAGAATCCTTTTTTCAAACACAACTTTTTTACACACATTGTTAATTTGCATAGCTTTATTTTTTTGTTCTTCTGTTTTGCATATTATCAGTAAATTACCATCCCTCAAAGTCTTGGCCATTTCCACATCACCTATCTTTTTCTTCAGTTCTTTGGATATTGCTATCGGACTAATATAAATATGTTCATCTTCCTTTCTAAATTTTATTATCACTTTAATCTCCTCCTTCACAATCTTTCTGCGAGCACCCCTCTCTCCCTCATCTGAACTTATTTCTCCCCATTCCCTTTTACTGCTCTTGTTAGGTGGTGTTTTATTTATCTTGTGCTGCTTTCTGTTGGATGCTGAAATCCATTCATCTGAATTCATATCTTCATCCTCATCTACATCTTGTCCTAACATCCTGATCCAGTCACAAACCAGCTATTGCCAACCACCGACAAAAATAGAAAAGTTTTAAACAGACCGCCAGAACGCTTTCGTTGCTTCCGACTCGTCTCCAGCACCGGAGCCAGAGACGCATTTGACCAGAAGAGATTTTTTTAAAAGCCCCAAGAGAACTGAGCTGAACATAATTGTGATAATAAAATAAAACAACAACCAGAACAACCATAATAGGTAACATTGCCTGATCTGGGGTTTGCATTACCATTTTTTTATTTATTTATTGTTACTTTTTATTTTGTAATGGTCTGCAGCCATCTGAAACGATTGATTCCAGTTAATTCCAGCAGGGGGTGGTAAAGTAACAAAAATATAAACTGCAGGAAGGATCATGAAGAAATGTAGCTTTTCTTTATTAAAACTTCGTGTTTAAAATGGGCGAAGTTGACAGCTACCTTTTTGTGTAATGTTGTTACAAACCAAAAATAATTTGCCTCCTTTAATCAATCCAATGATTTTCAGTCAGGTCATCTGGACATTTTTTTTTTCTTTTGCTGAAATGTTTCACCTTCCATCCAGAAGGCTTCATCAGTCAAGGAAACACACAACAAAGCTGATTCTTCCCCCCAACAGCTTACTCCAAAGTGGAACAAACCAGTTATGCTGGTGATAAGATGGTCTCTTTGGCAAGCCCCCTTCTCTGTTGCCTGCCCTCTTCCTTGTCGAGTCATGTCAAACTGGTTAAAAACCAAAAAAAAATCCATGCTCAATAATCCAGGTATACAATCCAACAATTTTCATTCAGATCAGGATTTCTTTGGTTTTGAACCAGTTTGACATGACTGTCGACAAGGAAGAGGGCCGGCAACAGAGGGGCATGCCAAAGACACCATCTTAGCACCAACATAACTGGTTTGTTCAACTTTGGAATAAGCTGTTTGGGGGAAGAATCAGTTTTGTGTTGTTTCCTTGACTGATGAAGCCTTCTGGATGGAAGGTGAAACGTTTCAGCAAAACATGTGAATGATCCAGTAAGTTCTGCTGCACTCTGCTGGCTGGGTGAGCACGGAGTGTTTGTATCAACTCGTACTGATTGACCCAAATAAAAATCAACTTGGACAAGTTTTTATTGTTTAACTGGTTTCTGTGAAAATTTATGTATGTAAATGTACATCATTATTATCAGTGACTTCTCTTAATTATAAACTCACTTTTTTTTTACTTGGGAAATAGTAAATAAGAACATGCGCAGTGAACTGCAAATAAAATGAAAAGTTGTTTTTATGATAAATGCCTACATTTCACAAAACAAGGTGCAAAACAAATTATAAGAGGGATTTTAGCACCTTTTAAAAATTGTTTGTGCTAAACAAAATCAAGGCGAGTTACATGTAGTGTCAAGATCTGAAAATTACTGATTAAAAAAACTTATCAAGTGTTTAAAGGCCACTAATGTCCATCCATTCTCTTTACCAGCTTCTTCCTGTTTGGGTCACAGAGGTCACTGGTGTCCATATCCAGCAGTCACTGTGTGAGAGGTGGGGGACACCATGGACAGGTCTCAAGTCCATCACAGGAACAACCAACCATTCACTCTCCCACTCACACCTAGGGACAATTTAGTTACTAATCAGCCTAACATGCATGTTTTTGGTCTGTGGGAGAAAACTGGAGTACACGGAGAAAACCTACACATGCACGGAGAGAACATGCAAACTCCACCCAGAATGGCCCCCATCCTGGATTTGTTCCGGCCACCTCGCTGAGAGGCGGCAGGTCTACCATCTGATCCACCGTACCGCCCAGCTACCAATGTGCCATTAAAAATCCATTTAAAACCAGTCAATCCTGCTGTAAATAAGAGTAAATATTTTCAGTGACTGTCCTTTGATTGGAGAACAAGTGATCCAAGGATGAGCTCCAAGGAGGCAGATGTTTGATGTTTTTTATTCACCTATTTGCAGAAACGGTCAACTTTTATCGTGCAGGTTTCTCTGTAACTCCGTGCTCAGCTTGTGGCTACAGCTCTGACAGAAGCAGCACGTTTCTACCGTTCTGTGTTTGTGGCTGGACTATCTGCTGCAGCTTTGGTGCCCCTGTGCAGACTGTTGATGTGTTGAGTCATTGTCTTGCGGTTGGTTGTTATATGACCACACTGTATGCAGGTGTATCGACCTCTGGTGTGTTCCCAAAGGACACGTCTTCTGCAGCTGCTGGACATACCTGAAGGAGGAAATGGACTTTTCAGCAGAGACGCAAAATGTTCGACCGAGCTTAAACTAAAATAAAATTCAGTTTAATTATCTACAAATGCAGACATTTATTTATTTATTTTTTTAATGTCTAAATGATTTATAAAACACTCAAGTCTGTTACTTGAGCTGAGTGAATAATGTGCTGTGTGTGTGTGTGTGTGTGTGTGTGTGGGTGGGGGTTACCTTGATTCTTCTTCCATGTGGCTGAAGAGCCAGGAGGGGATAAAACTGCAGATCCTGGACCAGTCTGCACACCCACCATGGACCTGCTCTGTGCATGCTGCTGACTCTGAACATTAGGAGGGTCAACGTTTGTTTTCAGAGCAGCAGAGTTCAGACAGGAAGGTAGATTAGGGGCTTCAATCTTGAGTAGGGGATGGGGGGCAGTTTCATCGAGCTGGGAAAGTCGGGTCTCTCTGAGAGGCAACATGGGGGGACCAAGCGCAGGGGGTTCAGCAGAGTCGAGCTGAGGAGTGGCAGCAGGGAAGGATCCATCTGAGTTTGTGACTTGAACTGACTCGGGTGAAGACATGGATTCCAACTTTGGGGGCTGCTGATCCACAACTTGGGGGGTCGTGCTGGGCCTGCCTGCAGCACTAAGCAGAGATGGTGTCGGTTCAGCAGCCTTCGATTTGCTCCGTGGCACTTTGGAGCATGTGTGTAGGTGTGCCAGGAGGCCACGGTAAGAGCGCAGTTTTGTGCGACAGCTCTCACACCTTCAGAAACAAAAGCAAAGCTTCATAATGCCTCGTGCACTGAACCATCAGCAGAGGGTGACAGCAGAACATTAGCACAACTCACTGGAAGTAAATGTTGGGTTTGTGATGCTGCCTCATGTGTTCCATCAGTTTCTGCATGCTGGGGGAGGAAACGCTGCAGCCAGTAATCGAGCACAGCAACACCTTACCTGGAGACAGACATTTACATGGAGCTTCACTGATGACAGGTCCTAGAGTTCACTCTGATCACATACATTGATGATCTCAGTTACATCCAACCAAACAAGCTTAACAGTTCAGCATTTTAAAATAGAGGGACCGCATCTGAAGGTTTAAGTTCACTTCAAGCTGCTCTTCCACATTAGACAAGTGGTTTGTATATGTGAGGTTCACTCTCACCTGGAAGAGACTGAGTTGGGAACTGTTGTGAAATAAAATATATTTGTGTGCTTAATTCTTTAGTTTTATGTATTGGTGAAACTTATTTACTATTCAACAAAGTCTGTGTAAGGCTGAAGAGGACAGGCATTTTCTGTCATCAGTTCCTTTGTTTAAACTCAGCAGAAAACAGCACGATAGGGGGAGGTGAACAGAACTTTCTTGTTGATGTTACAAGAGGTCTCACCCTCTGATTGGTTTAGAAAGCTGCGTTGCTATGGATACGAGGTTTTACGGCCGGCCAGGACTAATGGATACATTCCAGATTATAAGTTATATGACAGCTTGACCTCATATACAAACATGAAGAGTTTTCCTTAAAGCCTGTTGAGGCAGGGATGATGTTCTGATCAATGTTTAGTCTAATTGTTAGATTAAAATAACTAATACTTTGCAATCTAATGTTAGTTTAATATTTCTGATGTATTAGTATGAAAATTAGAGGTTGCAAGGAGTAGTTAGTGTATTTTGAGGAATAGGACAGATTGAACTTTCTTTGTTCTGATTATCTGAAACTGTTCAATAGGATGCTGCAGTCAAGAGTTATTTAGTGAGTTTTATTGTCTGCATTAAACATGGTTTAACACTCTGGTGAAGTTTGCTTCAGTTTTCATATATATAAAGTAAGTATCTAGGATGAACATTTTTAATTAGATAAAAGTTGTGATTATATAGTTGAAGAAAGACATGCACATTTAATAAAAGCGACATTGATATGTTTCATAGGAAAATATGAAACTCCAACAACACTTAGAAGAGAAACTGTGAAAGTTAGACAAAGGAACATTTTGGGGGAGGTTGTAAGTTCTGTGTTGCTCCAAACGGGGCAGAACCACAGCCAGGTTATAAAAGCATGGAGCATCTCCCCCCTCGAGAGAGAAACAGAACCGCCCAGGGCAGAATCAGAACCATGCAGCACGAGCTGAACAACTGTGCAGGTCGTATTGGTCAGAATGAATGCGAATTCATTCAATCCATTTACTTCATCACTTTTATTTTATTTTTGCAATAATTACTAACCAAAATTGTATTCCTAAAAATGTATCTTGTGACTATTATCTATTAAATATACGTGTGAACTTGAAATAGCGACTCTGTCCTATTTTTAGTGTAACTTAGTTTTTCCTTCCTCGATCCTGTACAACAAGCCATAACAACGAACTCGGGCGGAGCGAAGACGCAGATCAACAGAACTCATGGTCCTTGATGTGGCTCTGCAGAGCGTTCATCTCTGTGTAAACACGCTTACATCCGTGCAGTGGACACGACATTTTCTTAGATCCTAAAATAAATAAACACCATTACAATACTGTAGTGTACCAAACTCAGCTTATGGCAAAATTACAGTACACAGCATTAATATTTATGCGTCTGTTGTGATGCTTGTTGTGCTAGCTGACTAGCCTAGCTAGTAGGTCGGCTAGCTTGATTCTGCTCAACAGCTAACGTTAGCTTCCTTAGAGAGGTGGATGTCAACACGAGGCAAACTTATCACTAAAGTTACAAACGCACAAATCAAACCACCTTTTACATTTGCAGGTGTCTGCGGGTCGGTACAGCCTGGAGACGTCATAGCTGCACACTCGGCGACTTTACGCAATGACGGAAAATGCCATGGACTGCAAAAACCATGAGCCTTTGCCACGTTACGTCACTTCCTTTTCGTTTAAAGCCCTTATTTATTTATTTTTATCTTTATTGTTTAAAGACCTTATCGTGAGCGCAAACTAAATCCTAAAGCAGTGAGAGACACATGGAGGAAAAGAAGAGAAAGTGTTATAGAAATATGCATGACATTCTTGAGGGACTAACCAATAGCATCGTTGTGCCTTTGACTGAACGATGACATCACAAAGACGTTGAATGAATGATGACGTCACACTGTTTTTTTATGGAAGATGACATCACAAAGACTTTGAATAAATTATGACATCACAGTGTTTTTTTAGTGGAAGATGACATCACAAAGACTGAATGACATCACTGTGCCTTTGATGTTCAGTTTATAAGAAGGCATTCTTACTCAGAGCTCACACACAACTGTTCAAACGACTGTACCATAACACATTTATTGTATGTTACACTGTATATTGTAGAAAAATGTATCCAACAAGAACAAATACGAGGATCACATTAAAATATATGGAATGGACTTCTCAGACTACACTGACCCGTGGAAACTCGTCCTTCCCAGAAGACAAGCAATCCGATAGACAACGGATTGCAAATAATTACTCTGAAGGCACGTTTTGGACAAACCAGCAGTCTCAGAACGCTATCAAATCAAGGCAAATAAACAGTGAAAAGCATTGTGAGAAAATGCTCGCCTTACAGAGGGAAGACGTAACTAAACAAGAAGAACTAGAAAGAAAATGTTTTGTTGAGGTGAAAGAACGAAGGGAGTTTAAAAATGCTTTAACTATGTCTATTTCTGAGCACAGAAGGGCAGCAATGACATTTAAAACAGAGGCGAAGATTTGTGAGCAATTTCACGACAGACAAGTGAAAAAAGACCGGACATACAACGACCAATTATTTGTTGAAAATGAAAAGGAAACCGCAATGAGAAAAAAGGAGGATTTTAAAAATAATTTTTCTGACTACAACAAAGCTGTAGCAGATCAAAAACTGAGTCAGTCCAATAAATACCAAACGGATGAACGTTTTTCTGAAAAACTCACACAGCCAAAACGTCTGCCACCAGTTAAGGGGCCAACTGGTCAAATCAATTTTGAAACTGACTCAGAAAAATATCTGGAAGAACAAACCTCAACAAAAACACACCATCTCAAAAAATCACAATTTTTTAGGGATTTTCCAAATTTACGAGATTTACAACCAAAGTCTGTTCTGCCAGCCAAATCACAATTAAAATCTCCTTTGATACGAAATGCTGCAACTGAGAGTAGAAATCTAGTTCCTCCACCAGGTGCGCCCAGGAAAATAAATGTCAGAAAAATTGTCCATCCAACAGGATCAAGGATTACGGATACAGACGGAAACCCCTCTGGTCCTCTGCACGGTGCCACCTGTTCAATTTCAAAATTGCATCTTTCACAAACTCCGAATGCTGCAACTGAGAGCAGAAACCCAGTCCCTCAACCTTGTCCGCTCAGGAAAACAAATGCCAGAAGTTTTGTCCGTCCACCAGCGTCAAAGGTTACAGAAAACAATAGAAAC